ATTCTAGCATATGAAATTCCTTTAAGCTGTTCCAAAAGACCAGTCAGAGTTGTTCCTTTCTCAAGTATGACTCTATAGTTTGATATCACTTGTGAATGGAAGAAGAATGATAACTTAAGATGATAAGCCATGAAAGCTCTAGCTTTGACTTCATATACACAAATGCATACACATTTGTTTCGCTTCTTTCAATCCATCACTGCTTCCAACAATTCCTCTGTATTTGATCAAATTGCTTTGGTCCACTGCACTAGCTAGGCGACGAATTCTAAAAGAAACCGCTAACATTGCTTCTTGAAATGAATCCGAGCCTCGAGGTCGTTTAACCGCTTGTGCATGTGGCTTGCGAGTGAAGTACTCACAACTTTAACTAATTGGTCCATTTACGAATTATGATCACTAAATTCACTATGTAAACTTGATTATTCATTTAAAATTAAAATAGTGACAAGATTATCATTTGATTTTGTGATATATATATATAGGTAACATAGCAGTTGGGTCAATCTCTTTAGCCAGAAACATAAAAAGTCATAAGTAAGATTTTCCCAATGAACCTAACACTAAGTTGTTGTATCTTGTATATACTATTTTTACTAATCAGTAACTCCATATAGTAAATCCATTGCAATATTGTATTAAATAGATAACTATTTCTTCACTCAGAAAAGATCTCATAACAACAAAGACACACACACTCACACAAATAACTGAAAACAAAACAGAGGATACAACAGAAAAACAGAGTACTTGAGAAATTGGGCAATGAGGCAGCCACTTATTTACTCTGGGTATTATTATTGAGACTGAAACAGAACCATTTTTGTTTTTTACTTTTTAGAAACCTCTCACTGAAGGAGCTTCTGTGAAGCTGGCCTGTTGGTGATTTCAGTCACCCATTCGTTGACACGTGGACGCTCGGTGAAAAGCTTCTTGGTGGGAGTTGTGAGCAAGTACTGAATCACAGGAATGTGGTGAAGTTCAACCAAAGTAAAAGTGTCACCAGCCAAATACTTGGTCTCCTTGAGCCTATACTCGTAGACGTCAAGGACCTTAGCTAACTTAGCCTCTTCTTCTTCAACAACGGCTTGGTCTGTTGTCAAGCCATACATGAGCTTGAACACTTGTTCCCAAGCAAGCTTTGAAGCCACTGGATCGAAATGGTGACCTTCTACTTCAATGCCAATGGCCATGACTGCGTAGAGTGCCATGTTGTTAACGTAGTCTGGAAGAAGGTTGGTTCCTTGTTTTTCGTATCGGTGAGCTATGTATTGAGTAATAGCTCTTGATTCTGTACAAAACAACCAAACCATGTTAGTGAATTTTCCTTCTTCTTTTGCATATTGACAAATCAGATACCGAAAAGTCCGTACCGAAAAGCTTGAGGTCTCCATCTTCAAAGGCTGGAACTTTACCAAAAGGCTGCAATATCAAAATCAAACACAAAACATTCAAGAATTATCAAAATGTTTGGTCTTTTCTTATAATAACGTGGAGATAGATATATATATACTTACGTTGCGAGAGAGGAAAGGCTCTTTCTTGTGTTCACCGTCTTTGAGCTCGACATGAACGAGTTCAAAGTCGAGGTTTTTCTCGTGGAGGGCGAGGATGACTCTCCTGGTGGAAGTAGAAGCAGCGTGTCCGAAAACTTTGATACTTGCCATTAATGTTGAGAGATAGAGAGTAAGAGATGTGATCTTTGTTGTTGAAGTTGTAGGTGATGAAATAAGGCACAAGTAGTCTTGGTATATATACAAGTTAGAAACAGAGTATTTTATGCATTCTCATTAGTGTTTAATATACTATTTTAACAGATAATAATGTCTCAACAAGACCGTTGCATACAAAGAGTATTCTATGCAGCCTTTCTGGAATAGTTTTCAAAGTCGAATCGGTTGATGTTTGAATTGAAGTTTTTTAATTTGGTTATATGATAAGATTTTAATATCAGAGAAAAGATCAAACAAGTAAACTAGTAACGGCCAAATGAATCAAACTTGCACCTACTAGTCAAGCTTCATCTAGTAACTAGATATCCCTTGTTTATCACTGGTTTCGACTCGTTTCGGGTAGTTTTTCCGATCCTCTAAATCGGCATGCCTTATCGGCTAAATGGGTTTCTCTTGTTGTGGAATTTGATAGAACAAATAGGGGTGTTCAATCCGAGTTTCGGCAAGATTTTTTCGGTTTTTGAAATATAGTTACCAATATAAGTAATTAAGTATACTATAAAACAGAGTAGATGTGTGGCCATACGCTTGGATTTTTAGTTACTAATCATTTTTGTTCGGTTTAGGTTTGGTTTTTGAGTCTGTTCATGTCTGACTCTGTTATGATCTTATGAGATTGGTAAATTGGATGAAACAGTGTCTTTTTCAAAGTGTTTAACGTTATAGATGATGATTCTAACTTGTAAATCTCAGACCAGACCAAAGCAAGGAGACAGACTTTAAGGACAAGAACGAACAAAGTCTTAGGTCAACTTCTTTACCCAAATACAAAATGGTCAAAGGTGTAAGTAAGATTTTCCAAATCAACCTCACACTAAAGTATTTGTATACTGTTTTTTTTTTTTTTTTGATAACTGGGATCATCTGAAGGGAAAGTTTTCAGACTCATCCTCGAAAGCCATAAAATCCAACTACGGCTGGCCAAGTGGAGTGGTAAGATAATTTCACGCTTGAAAGGATTTGATCCTTATCTCCTTGACCTACACCAACATGGCAATTCCTCGATAAGGAGAAACTAATGGCCATCCATGTATTCTTGCCACTTAAGGCGTCTACGGGTGGCCAAGTGGAGTGGTGAGATACTTTCACGCTTGAGGAGATTTGATCCCCACATGACAAATCCTCAGAGAAAGAGAAACCAAGTACCACTTGGTTAAAGTTCTTACTAATTAGTAACTCCATAGTTAGAATATTGCAATCTTTGTATTAGATAACAAATTAGCTTGTTTTTTTTTTGTTAGAAGAAGAGTTTGAAGAATAGTAACAACTTTTTTTTATTCAACAAAGATCT